CCCCCCCCCAACCCCGGACCCCCTCTCCCAATTCGCATGGCTCACCACCGAGCTCCACCAGGCCGAACGCCACCACCAGCGCGTCTGGCTCCTCACGCACGTGCCCCCGGGCAACTCCCACATGCTGCCTTGCTACGCCCACGCCCTGAACCGGATCATCGAGCGCTTCCGCGCCACCATCGCCGCCATCTTCTCCGGACACCGTCATCTGGATCTCTTCCAGGTGTACTACCGTCCCCTTAGCCCCAACAATGCCTCAACCATGCGCAGCAGTCGAATGATCCACAATACCAGCCGCGAAGCCGTAGCCATCAACTACATCACCCCCAGCCTCACGTCCGAGCGCGGCCGCCCGGCCTTCCGGATCTACGACGTCGATCCCGCTACCTGGGCGGTGGTGGATTATACGGTCTACGTGGCGGACTACGAACCCTGGAGGCCGGGGCTGCCTCGTCTGCCGGACTGTCCCATGGTCACGCTGTCGATGGACACGCTGCTGATGGACATCAACACCCAGCCCATGGGGCCGCAAAGCTGACGTGGAAGAAGTACTACTCGGCGCGCGAGGCCTACGGGACGCGCACGGAGGAGGACGGGCTCTCCCCGGCGTTCTGGGATGAGCTGACGGTGCGCATGGCCGGGAATGAGACGCTGTTCGAGGAGTGGTGGGCGCGACGCACGCGGGGCAGCTGGGTGACGCCATGTCGCGGGGTATGTCGGCGGCGGGAAATCTGCTACATGAGGGGTGGGCCGGACGAGGGCGAGGGCGAGGGCTGGGAGGGCTGTCCGGGGAGTGTTCTCACCACGCGCGGTCGGCATGGGCATGGCGTTGCCTGGATGGGGCGGTGGATGATGGAGTAGGTACCGAAAGTTGTTGTGATCGTGCAAGGGTGAACTACTACACACGGTGGGAGGGGCATGGTAGAGTGAGGAGTGGATTGACTTGCCTGGAGGAAGTCCTACTGGTAATTTTGCCGCCCACTTTTTCCAGTTCCTCGCTTTACTTAATCCCAGCTACTTGCTTTACTTGATTCCAAAGATAGGATGAAGAAAGAATGCAATCTATTCAGACCATCGCGCCGCGACGGGTTCGTTCCATTCTCCCAGGTATTTCAACAAAAAGGTATGCACACGAAAAAAAAAAAAAAAAAAAACTGGCAGCAGGGTAATCATTCTATCCGTAAATCACATTTCCTTCACTTCACACATCTACTGGATGTACCAGTCGACACCGCTGACACGGCCGGCACCCAGTTCGGCCAACTCGAGGAACAGCGACGAGGACAGATCGATGGAACCCTCGGTACAACCCATGCAGGTGTCGACGATGGTACCGGTGGCGGTCTTGCCGCCGTAGTTGATGGTCACCGTCTTGCCACAGTAGCTCTTTTGCATGATGGTGTGGGACAGGGCCAGGACGTGCTCGCTGTCGGTGTTGGTCTCACCGCAGGATCCCAGACCGACCTCGTAGTAGGTGATGTCTCCGCTGCAGGGCGAGGACTCGGAGCAGACGCCAGAGGAGCTGGAGCCGGAGCCGGAGGAGCTAGCGCTGGTGGTAGCGGCGGCAGCAGCGGTGGTGGAAGTGGAGGTAGAAGAGGAAGAGGTGGTGGTGGTGGTGGTCCAGGTCGAGGTCGTGGAAGTGGTGGAGGAAGTGGTGGTGGCGTGCCACTGCTCAGTGGTCGAAGTAGCGACGCTGGTGGTCCACTGCGGAACCTCGGGGGTCCAGGTGAAAGAGGGCACGGCGGGGGCGGTCCAGACGGGCTGTTCCCATCCAGCAGTCGTGGAAGTAGTGTGGGAACTGTGGTGGGAGCTGTGGTGCGCCTGGGTGTGATCGGCGACCTTGTTCACAGCGTCGTTGGTGGCAGTAGGCTCGACAGTGACGGTGGTGGTCACATCGACGGTGGTCCAGACAACAGAGGTGACGGTCTCGATCTCAACAACCTGGTCGCGCTTGTCGACGGGGGCGGCCGAGGCGAAAGCCGCAAGCAGGGAGCCAAAGAGGGCAAGAGACTTGGTGATGGGAGCCATTGCTTTTTGAATCGTGGATTTTGACGAGGGGTATCGGGTTGATTTTTTTTGAGTCTAGAAAGCGGGTTGCTTGCTTGCTTGAGGGGATGTCTATCTAGACGAAGGACTGGCTGGCTCTGGTCGACAGAGGAATTGGATGATTTCGAAGATAAGGACTGACTGACTGACTGCACTGCAGTACGATAGCAAAGCGAACCCAAGGGAGTGTGGGTGTGAAAGAAGGAACGACAGACGCTGCTGGTTGAGGAGCGAGAAATGAAGGAGAGGAGAGACCGAGAGGGGCAGCCCTTTATAAAGTCTGGATGGAGGGGGACGGAGGAGGGACTGACAGTCAGGGCCGGGACCGTCTAAGGAAATCCGACTGGTGTTAGTGCACTAGTGTTCGGCTACAATAAAACGATTTTTTACTTTAAACTTTTTTTTTAAAAAAAAACGATTTTATTTATTGAATTGAAATTATAAGAGTGAATATTATACGTACTCGTTATAGTGAAAAGTAAAAAAAAAAAGTGAAGGGAAAAAAAGGAGCTAACCCACCGTAGGTGAGTTCGTTCACCTTTGAGGGAGCCCTGAGAGCCCAGAGTGTGGTGCCAATCATCCATAACAAGCGTTGTCCCTGGCAGAGAAACCAACCGAAAGGATTGGCCCGAGTTCAGGCCCCCGCAGGCTGGAGGGAGGGAGACCCACTGCAGCAGCCCAGCTCGTGAACGCCCCGATCAACTGGTCAGGCACGGAACCAGTCAAAAGTCAAAACCACACTTTTGGCAACTGCGGAACCTGAACGGTACCTCAGGATTCAGGAACTGTCCTACCACTCGACTGTAGGTACAGTACAGTCCGGAATATTGTACTCGCTGTCTTACCCTCCATGCCTTTACCCACTTCTCCTCACCGTCTCTCCCAGGGACCTACTACTGTTCACTGGGCACTCTTCCCCTCTTTTCCCCCTCTTCCCCCGTCTACCAATAACTCCTCGTCTGCCACCTCATCAACATGTGTTTTACCGCTGGCCACGCCTCGTATTGGACATTGCATTTGAGAAGAAAGGAAGAATGACGTGAACTGTACAGTCATTCAGCGCGTTCCTGAATGCCGACTGATCGACTGATTGGCGGGCCCTCGATTGGCGCCGGTGTCTCAGCCAGGCGGGTTTGGAGGGCGACCAAGTGTGCTGACTGGTCGCCGCATTGGTTAGGTCTCCATTGACTTTTCGGTGCTGTGGCTTGTACCTGGCCCGTATTCTTTGTCTTCTTTCTTCTTCTCTGCAGGCACCAGGACCAGGGCCCGTCCGAGGCCCAGGGCGGCATCGATCGGCCATTTTGATCATTTTATTGTGATGGCACCCCCTTGAGTTCATGGTTCCCTCCCTCCCTTTTCCCTTCTCATTACCAAGAGTCCAAGACCAATAAATCCCACTCAGCCACAAGCCACATCCGATTGACTACGGAGTAGAAACGGTGCCTGACGGGACGGCATGTACAAATTATTTGGGTGAGCCTCAGTCAAAAGCCTTCAAAGAGGGGGGAAAAAATAAAAAATAAAAAAACATCTAAGAAAAGAAAAGAACAAACATTCGTCCGACACATCTTCCCCTGAACGTATCATTTGAGACACCCTCTTCAATCAACCTCTTTCAATCCTGTCTTTCACAACTAAACTTTTTTTCTCCTCCTCCTCCTCCTCCTCCTCCTCCTCCCACTCGGTGGCGAAAACACCATGGATGGATCCTGGTAGATTTCACCATCTCAGGAACGTAGCCTATGGAGGAGTCGACCGTGCGGTGTCGACGTGTCCGCGACCCTCCGAGTCTTAGGGACTCCATCGCAGCGCGCAGCCAGTGAGGGCGGGCAACGCGACCACTAAGGCGGCCAGATGAGTCCAATTGCGGATGCTTTCCCCTCTTCTCGGAGGGCTTTCATGATTTCATCTGTCCAGGGCTGCATCTTCCCCTCTTCTGTGAGTGCTTTTTGGCCCTCGTCTCTGCCCCACTACGAAAATTTTCTGTTGTGTCGGGCCTTCCAGCAAGGCCGATTGGAGGGGATGCAGTCGCCGGTTCAAGATTCCTGTTGAATCTTGCCAGATTCAGCCGATCTAGACCGGTGAACAAGAAAAGTGTCGATGTACATAGTAATCATCCATAGAGAGGAATCCTTTCAATTCTTTCATGTTCAGTGGGTAGTGTGTGTGTGTGTGTGTGTGTGGGAATACGAAACTTGGCAATGGAGTTCTGAGACGCCACATGGGCTGATGGAGTCAACAGGTTGAACAGACACACACAAACACCCCAGCGCTCGGTCCAGACCCTGATCCCTGATTGATCTCTGATCCCGACCGGTCAATACCCTTTAGTCAACCATTGCATTCTTAGTAGTTACTCACTGTACATGCTCAGTAGGTATGGATCCTACAGCTACTCTACAGTGTCTACAATGTACAGTACATATCTACCCGATCCTACCGATCAATTGAGAATCAACAATCCGGAAACCTGCACAGTGACATCAAGCCTGCCTCCGCCCATGACATGTATCGCATCTGCAGAGCATTCTAGGCGCCCCCTCACTCCCTCCCTCCTCCCTCCCCCACCCCATCGGAGCATATTCTATCGATTCACACCCGGTAGTCATTCACACCGCACAATTCCTCCGACCCGGGAGACGGTGAATCTGCAGCATGGTCAACCTCTTCCGCATTCCCCGGCTGTCTGTCCATCTGCCCGGCGGGCGGTCTCCTCGCTTACGGCGGGGCGATGTTCTTGGGATCAAGTCAGGTCTCTTTGTCCCTGTACGACAGCGTAGCCCTTTTGCAGCAGAAGTATGGGGTACCTCGCTTCTGTGCTATGTGAGTAAGTACTGTACAGTATGCCACTGTTCATCTGCTTCATCGTCATCACCATCATCCATCCATCCAACACCGCTCAAACGGGAGCTCAAACGACTAGCCCCCACAACATGCTACAACCGACCCCCCTATGCAAACCTCCAGAGATTGGGTTAGATGGTACCTGACCGTCTCGTCTTCAGGAAAGAGCTAAGCTCCTTGTCATCATTTCGATCTCGAGATCCCTCACCCAACTCGGACAGCTTCGAAGGAGCTTCTGAACAGCCTAGTGCCAACACATGAACCAGAGCTATAGCTGTTGGCTGGTCTACCAACCACCAAGCGGGAAAACCCGCTGAATCCTTAAGCTATCCTTTCAGCAGCTGCTGCGCTCTTTATCTATAGTCACACAACGGACATGAACCCTGGGTGTCAGCCACGAATCCGTACCTGCGCACGTACGACCAACAGCTATCTCAGCACCGGGGATTTAACGAGCGTTGGCTTGGGCGCTGATGAAACCAGAGCTGCTGTCCGAACTGGGTTATGTTTCCATCTGACAACCAGGGATATCCATCCAACCGAGGGACGGGATGATTCAAACATCCCCATTGGATGCCATCAGCATTGTTTCACCCATCACTGGAGGAAAAGAGCTACACAAGCATCACGCTCAACTTCCGCACTCCTCCAGTGTGAAGCGAACACCTCCGTGGACCACGGCCCGGCCCATTCCATGACGAGCAATTTCAGCGGGGTGGTTTAATTACGGCTGTTGGCCCCCCGTGAGGATCTCGCTTGCGGGATGATACCAACATTGGGACCGGGTGAGGGATCGTACGGAGGGTTTCTTCCCCAACGCAGGAAGTGGCAGTGTTGATGTAGAGGTACTTGTTCAACTTCGCTATCGGACTTTTTTTCGGGGTCTGTCGACTACAGGACGTGTTTCTCTGGGTCCATGTGGATTGGTGTCCTAACTAAGCAGGGCTCCTCGAAAATGGCTGATGTACAACAATCCCAGCGTGCATGCTCGAGGTCGCCTCTGTATTTCCTGGTACACGTTTTGGAACTCACGGGAAATGCCTTCCCTTACGCACACCTCCTTGTGATTCATACTCTCTCAACAGCAGGTTAGCGCGCTGACAGAACCTTATCGAAGATCGCATGTTCCGGTCTGTGGCCAAGAACTGGTCTCATGATTTCGAGGCGCGATTGAAAGTGTGTTCCAGCTTACTAAACAGCTCAACTCGAACGGGTTTATTCGACAGCCTCTGGTGTGGAATGACCAGCCACATAAGCTGGAGATTCTATCGAGTAATGGCGCCCATGTTGAACGACAGCGAGCTCCAGATTGAATCACAGATCTCGAAGCCGGGTGCGGAGTAAGGCATGTAACCCCCGTTTTCCAGGCCTAATGCTGTCCATCTTCGGACGTAACAAAGTGCACTCTCCATATCCCCATTGGCTGCACCAGCCGAAGATAGTTCGAGTTAAGCATTCAGGAACAAACATGATTCCGAGGTGTGGTTGAGATGGAGGACGAGGCGGCAGGATACCAGCGTTAGGCGCCGCCGCTCCGGGTCTGGTCGCGATCCGAAGCGCCGGGCGATCCCACCCTACCTTCAGTAGTGTCGCTTAGTGCATACTACCCAGGCACCGGTTATGGTGATAGACCAGCGACAATGTAATTCATTCGCCGGATTCCGGCAAGTAGTGCGCGCGCGGCTGTACTGGACCTACGGGATCAACAAACCCTGTAAGCCTTTGGCGCTCCGTCTAAGAATAGTCGACGAACGGCATCGCAGCCTTAGGATGTCAATTTCCATCGATGCTATAGCCCATACATGTAGTATTAAAAGCGTGTGCTTTCGTGTACCTGTCACCGAGCATGAGCAGGTGTTTCGGGCAATCGCTACAGGAGGCAGCTTGTCTCTATACTACGAAGCAGCACCCACTCTTTCAGCATCTCCAGCATCAAGCAAGCCTCTACCACGCCGTGATTTATCGACCATGGTATGTGCAATCCCGAGATCGATAGACCTGATAACGCTCTCTAACCATCATGGGGGAACCCCGCCCCCGCCCCTCCCGAATTAAAGTCCGGATTAGACGTGGCGGTGTCCGTTCTCTCACTGATCGAGGCCTCGATCAGCCTCATCGGCCAGCTGCACGACGCCTACACGCGCCAAAAGGAGCACGCCAGCCTCCTCGCGGGGTACGAGGAGGAGCTGCGCAGCGCCCAGAGCATCATCCAGGTGGTCGCGGACGAGCCCGACCTGCAGACCGCCGAGATCTCCGCGCAGCTGGTGCGGACGGAGGCGCTGGTGCAGAAGCTGGTCGATCTGCTGCGGAGCCTGTCCGCGGAGAACCACCCCAGGAGCGCGGCGCGGCAGTTCTTCCACCAGCTGACGCAGGGCTCCAGGGACGAGAAGGCGCTGTCGGCGCTCGTGGACCAGATCTACCGCGCAAAAGCCGACTTGACCGTGTTGATTCAGGTCGCCGGGGTCGGGCTGGTGCGGACGACGGACAACACCCTCGCCGCGAACACCGAGATCATCAATCGCGTGGACCGGCACATTCGGGAGGTGCTGGGGGATGGTCGGGGGTTGATGATTGGGAGGTTGATCCCCGATGGTGAGGCGGATGCTAAGCGCGAGATCCCCTTGAGCCGTGAAGAGGTGGCAGCGGTGATGGGACCGCCGGAGGGAAGCAGCAGCAGCAGCAGCACGGAGCGGATCATCGAGAACAACCTCACGCAGCAGCAAGCCCTTCAAATCAACGGCCCCGTGGGCGAGGACCGATGGAAATCGATCAGCCGTCTGGTGATCCGGCAGAACAAGGCGACGGGCACAAGTACGCAGGTCAACTATCCGGTGTCGGCCTCGATCTTCTACGTCCTGCTGGTCAATCACTTGATCAAATACGTTCTAGTATGCGTGTTGCTGTATATTCCACTGGCTTACCTGTGCCAGAAACATGACTAGGGGGGGGGGGGAGACTACAAGACATATGAATTTTATAGGCGGAGACTCAGGCTGAGCTATAATCTGTCATACTACTATATGGGCTACTCGCATTCACTACCACGCTCGCCGCGGCTGTAGCTTACTGCAACTATGCAAAACATACTCTTACCGACCTCTTCCAATTGACACATAAACCACACACCTCCTCTTTAAACCAAGAGAAAAAGTACCATTCGAAGTTCATAAGTCCTCCCCCACAGTCCAAGGTTGAATATGTCATCCCCGCTCCAACCACGGTAGAACGTTCTCCCCATCTCACCACCCCTTCAGCATGGCGTCTGCGATGACAATGGTACTCGAAAACCACAAGCGTGAAGAGGCCAGGAGACGATTGGATGAAGAGAGGTAAGCCAGGTGGCTGGATGGCTTCCAGTCCATTTCTTTGAGTTCCATGGATTGGCGTCGCGTGCGCGCGATGCCGGCTGGCTAGAGGGCATCTCCAAGCTAACGGCGAGATCGGAATCAAGAACGCGACATGGGGAGATCAACAGCAGCAGCAGCGGTAGTAACCAGGGCCACAAGGGCGAGACCCAGGATTAGGGCAGCAATATGTTTCCGGGGTCTCTGCTAGGGAATATCTCGAGGGAGACTTCGTTCCACAGGGATTCAGGAAGTGCTGACTAGTTGTGATTAAAACTCAGTTAACCCGAGATCGGGTTCACGCTGGTCTCTTTGTCCCATACTTCAAGCAAGTGATATAATGGAGAAGCTCGTCGAAATTATTAAAACGCCGTACCTAGAAAGTAAGCATCAGAAAAGAAGAAAGTAAATTGTTATCTATGTATATCAAGATTATCGCCATAAGCCATCAATGTCAATGTCAAACAAGAAAAGAAAATCACAAAGCCCGTAAATACATTTGAAAGCCCAGCAGGTAATCAGAAAAGAAAATCCATATCCATCAAACCCGTAATATAATTACACACAAATTTCCCAAAGCAAGACGCCGACCGCATTATAACCTTCATCGTTTGCTTCCTTAACCCTGGCACATGATGCAAGCCTCCTTGTTCTCGATGCTGCACTGGAGCACCGCTTGGGAGTAGATATCATTCTCGCGCTCCTCGCTCGTCTTCTCGGAATCCTCTTCCTGAGGTCCCTCCGCCTCACCCTCATTGCCACGAGAAGTGGCATCGGCAGCGAGAGCACGGGGGCTGTCAGCACCGTTGTTGACATCCTCGCTGTGCCCATTGATTTGGCTCTGACCGCGAGGCACGGCAGAGTAAGTGGAGGAGGCAGCACCCGTGGCACGCTTCTTGAAAGAGGAGTTGGCACGAGCAACGTTGGTGTCCTCAACCTTGAGCTGTTCCTGGTCCACCGTGAACTGGATGGGGGCCGAGGCCGCCATTGTCCGCAGGTAGTACATTCCAGTCTTGAGACCCATCTTCCAGCCAGCGAAGTGCATGCTGGTGATCTTGCCCATGGTGGGCTCCTTCAAGTGGATGTTGAGGGATTGGGATTGGTCAATGAAGGCACCACGGTCAGCAGCCATCTGCAGGATGTTGCGCTGAGAGATCTCCCAAACAGTCTTGTAGAGAGCCTTGATATCGGCGGGAATGTTGGGGATATTCTGGACGGAGCCGCCGTCGGCGATGATGCGGTTCTTCATGTTGTCGGACCACAGACCGAGATCAACCAAGTCCTTGAGCAGCCAAGGGTTGACCACCTGGAACTCACCCGCCAGGACACGACGAGAGTAGATGTTCGAGGTGTAGGGCTCGAAGCACTCGTTGAAGCCCAGGATCTGACTGGTGCTAGCAGTAGGCATGGGGGCAACCAGCAAACTGTTGCGAACACCAGTCTGCGCAATCTTGGCCTTGAGAGCGTCCCAGTCCCACAGATCAGTGGGAGTGCGGTCCCACATGTCGTACTGGAGGATACCCTGAGAGACGGGAGAGCCCTCGTAAGTCTCGTAGGGACCGTGCTGCTTAGCCAACTCAGAGGAGGCGGTCAGAGCACCGTGGTAGATGGTCTCAAAGATCTGAATGTTGAGCTGTCTAGCCTCAGCCGAGTCAAAAGGCAGACGCAAAGCGAGGAAAGCATCGGCCAGACCGTTGACACCAAGAGCGATGGGACGGTGGCGGAAGTTGCTCTTCTTGGCCTCAGGAACAGGGTAGTAGTTGATGTCAATGATCTTGTTCAAGTTACGGACCAAGACCTGCACGACTTCATGAAGCTTGCCGAAGTCGTATTCGCCGCGAGCGGCATCAACGAAAGTAGGGAGGGCAAGAGAAGCCAGGTTACAGACAGCAACCTCATCGGGAGCGCTGTATTCGATGATCTCGGTGCAAAGGTTGGAGCTGCGGATGGTTCCCAAGTTCTTCTGGTTGCTCTTCTTGTTGCATGCATCCTTGTAAAGCATGAAGGGGTTGCCAGTCTCGGTCTGAGCTTCCAGGATAGCATACCAGAGCTTCTGCGCCTTGATGGTCTTGCGGCCGCGACCTTCCTTCTCATACCTATAATCCTGTTAGAAATGGCTAGCAAGTAGACTCAAAACAGGGAACTCACTTTTCATAAAGAGCATCGAACTCGTCGCCGTAGACATCGGCCAGACCAGGAGCCTCGTTAGGACAGAACAGAGTCCAGTCGCCGTTGGACTCAACACGCTTCATGAACAAATCGGGGGTCCACAAAGCATAGAACAGGTCACGAGCTCTGACTTCCTCCTTACCATGGTTCTTGCGGAGGTCCAGAAACTCGAAGACATCCGAGTGCCAGGGCTCCAGGTAGATAGCAAAAGCACCCGGGCGCTTGTTACCTCCCTGATCAACGTATCTGGCAGTGTTGTTGAAGACCCGCAGCATGGGAACCAGGCCATTGGAAGTACCGTTGGTTCCACCAATATAGGAGCCGGTGGCACGAATGCGGTGGACGTTCAGACCGATACCACCAGCGGTCTTGGAGATCATGGCGCAGGTCTTGAGTGTGTCATAGATACCATCAATGCTATCCTCCTTCATATCGACGAGGAAGCACGAGGCAAGTTGAGGCTGGGGAGTACCAGCATTGAATAGAGTCGGGGAGGCGTGCGTGAAGAACTTCTGAGACATGAGGTGGTAGGTCTCGATAGCCTTCTCGATGTCGTTGCCGTGAATCCCGACGGACACACGCATCAACAGGTGCTGAGGGCGCTCTGCAACCTTTCCATTGATGCGCAGAAGGTATGACCGTTCAAGAGTTTTGAAGCCGAAGAAGTTGTAGTTGAAATCACGGTCATAAACGATAGCCGAGTTGAGCTCATCTGCGTGTTTCATGACTAATTCGTACGTCTCTTTGGAAATCATGGGTGCGGGAGTGTTGTTCTTGGGGTTGACATAGTGGTAGAGGTCAGAGATGACCAGCGAGAACTGCTTCTTGGTTTGCTTGTGAAGGTTGGAAACTGCTATGCGAGCAGCGAGGATAGCGTAATCGGGATGTGTGACGGTCATGTACGCGGCAGTCTCGGCGGCCTGCAAGCAAAGTCAGAACTCGATCGTCAAGCACCTAGTGATCTCCACATACCAGGTTGTCGAGTTCGACGGTGGTGACACCCTGGTAGACACCAGAGATAACCTTCTGGGTGATAGCAGCAGCGTCGACATGCTCAGGATCGAGCCCATAACAGAGCCTCGACACACGAGCGGTGATCTTGTCGAACTGCACGCGTTCTTTGCGTCCGTCTGCGGTTCAACGTGTCGTTAGCAAAATTTGCAACACGGGTGGCAACGAGCTTCAACAGGAACGTTTCGAAGCGAATGTGAATGTAAATTAGGGATCCATGACGCTATGGATTGACGGTGTAGGGCTTGATGCTCACCTCTCTTGTAGACAAACATTTTGAATGACAGGGAATGGCGGGGGAATGCGTAGAATCGAAGATTATGACAGGAAGGGTATAAGAAGAAAAGTGGAATTACAGAAAGAAAAGATCAGTAAATCGTATGTCAAGAGGCGTGAAGATGACAATTTTCGTAAAGGAAAAAGAGACAGAAGAGAGTGGTCCTGAAGACAGGAGCTTGTGGAGGATGAGAAGAAAGAGAAAGAGGGAGGAGGGGCAGCGAGAGTGGTAGATATTTGACGTCGCCGGGGCAAACGCGTTGCTGGTGGAAATCAACGCGAATTTTCGTGTTTGAGCTAAATGGGCGGCCCTTGCATTGGCGCTAGCAGTTCCTTTTGCTCCGGCTGCCGGAGACGCGCGACGCCCCAAAGTCACGTGTTGTTGTTGTTGAGTTTCTCACGCCACGTTAACTTGGAAGAGCCGACTGGGTCTTACAAATCAGCTTCGCGTTTCAATAAACTACTGTACTCCGTACTGTACCAAACGATCTAATCAATTTACCCACCAAAGCTAGACCGCCGCACTGCTTGGTAAGATTTTGGGAAGCTAGCTTAGAAGATCTCTCCCTCACCATCCATCGGGTTCCTTGGAATTCCCCTTTAGGACACCGAAAAAAATTGGTTTGCACCATCGAGTAAGGGTACATCAAGTTTACGGTAAAGTATGGTACAAGGTCTTAGGTTCAAACATATAATAACAAGGTTGAGAACTAGAAGCAATGAATCCGGGGTTAGCAGCAGCAGCTGAGAAAGACTACAGTGCCGCCGCGACTCCAAAGAAAACAACAGCTGCGAATGCTGCAGCAGGAACATGACGGTCTGACGAACCGGCTGAAATTATCCCGCTGGGATGAGCACTTGGTGATGGGCTCGGACTGGAGCTGGGAGTTGGACTCGAACTCGGCACTAATGTAATGCTAGACGAGCCGGTTGGGGTGACAATTTCATAACCGGTACTTGTGGGGTTGGCAACAGCAGTTGATGATGAGACACCGGATATGGTAAATATATCGTTCACTACACTAAGTCAGAGGATCCAGTATATGACTGCGCGGCAACTTCTCATCCAACATACCACCTTTGTACCCAGCCGAGGCACATATGTCCGAGAACTGCTGCATAGCCACCTTGGTATCGTCACCGCAGAGGTTTGAGATTTTGTCCTTGATTTGCTTGCCATTGGTGACACATATGGCCTGGAGGT